CAGATTACAAAATGTGTCTCATTTTTTAAACACATTTTTATTTAATAAAAATCGAGCTTTAGTAAATTAACTATGATTTATAAGCTGTTTTCCTTCTGGGACCTGAAACGGGGGGATTTTTGTCAAATTAAATGATATTTTGCTGAATGTGTTTTTGTGTTAAATATGACACTAAAACCACCAGTAGGTGGCAGCAAGTCCCCATTTTAATAAATGATTAATTTAATTATTTAAATCAAACGATTCATTCAAAATGGCTGATTCAATTAGAAACGAAGCAAGTGACTACTTGTATGAATCATTAGCTCACTCAATTCGCTCCAAAACAGATTCACTCAAACACCACAGTGTTGCTCTGCACTGCTGTTTAAAATTAATAGCACATTTGCGATCCCACACACGTGCTGGTGTGACAAATATAAAAAATAAAAACTAATATACACAGATACAGAGATTTTTTTTCTCGTTCATTACGTGAGTTATACGGGCATTCTAACTGCAATCTAATAGGCTTCATCATGCAGTAAATGCTTTTGGACTCTTAAGGCTCTCAAGTATCATTTCTCTGTCTCTCACAGTCACACATTCAGCACAATAACGTTATGTCAGGGAAACGTCAAAAGGCGCGCTTGAACCATGTTGCACAAAAAAATGACGAAAACTCACTTGAGCTTGTGCGCAGCTCGTATTGAGTTCTGATTGATTTATTTCATAAATGATCATACCTAGAGAATTTTAACATTTCATTTACATAATTTCCAGAGATGATGCTTTTTGCCAATTTTTTCAAAAAGGGGGGTGTCATCCCCCCCCCCCTCCCTCCCTCAATTCGACCCATATACCACTGAAGAAACATTGGATAAACACTAGCACCAGTCTGTTGGCTCTTTATACTCTACATTCAGCATCTTATGGAGCCTTATACAGACCCTGCATGACCCCGTCTGACCGTTGAATGGACAACTGCCAAAGAACTGCCAGGTGGTAGCGGGACCTCTGATGATCAGACACTATGCATTCGTCTCATATGTAGCTAACATCCATGTCCATGCCAAATTTGTTGAGAGGAATAGCTGTGCTTTAAAGACACTGACTGGAGCAAAACCTGGGAAGGAATTTTGAACAATACTGTGTAACTTTAGCAGCCATCTTAGGCAATGACACATATGACTTTAATTAAGAAACTTTGTAGATGGTAAAGTATGGTATAGTTTTGACTGAAATAACAGTGATACTAGCCACTGATTGCCATAATGTGCAGTACAAGTTTCCACTTCCAATGAGACGACTGATCTAGAAGTATATGCCACACATTTTGCAATCTATCTTGATTCAGTTTTTTCATTGGATTGCCAAAAGTGTTTACACATACACTACTATTCAAAAGTTTGAGGTCAGTAAGTTTTTGTATTCACATAGGACACATTACATTCAACAAAAGGAACAGTAAAGACATGTATAATGTTAAACAAAAAAAGCATTAGATGTATTTCTATTCTTGTTATTTTGCAGCAGAACTGTTTTCAACATTGATAACAATAAGACATTTTTCTTGAGCATATTATATCATCTGCATCAGCAGAATGATTTCTGAAGGATCATGAACTTAAGTAACGGCTGCTGAAAATTCAGCTTTGCCATCACAGGAATAGATTACATTTTAAAATATAAAAATGTAATATTTCACAATATTACAGTTTTACTCTATTTTTTTATCAAATGAACCCAGTCTTGTTAAACATAAGACATCTTTTAAAAACCTTACCGAACCCCAATTTTTGAACAGTATTGTAATATAAAATAACGGTTTTTAGCATGATTATTTCTCATTTGCTGAATAAAACATTTCAATGGCATAATATGCATTGCTTCATTCTAATTTTAAACAACAGTATGCAATTTTTAGTGTATACTGCACAATATGCAGTAAGGATTATGCTAGTATTCAATTCCAAATTGTGATTGTGAATATTAATAACGAAATTGATGAATCCCAGTTTGAAGACTACGTCCCCACATTAGAGGTGGTAGCGCTCACACCAGGACAGGAACTAAAGGAGAAGTGTGTTTATTTACACATTAGTAAAACCCACTTAGTGATGTTTACTATTTAAAGTATCTACATATACAGAAGAAAAAAAGGTATACACCAATCTGAAAAGACACTATTTACAAAACTCAAAGTGGCACATAACATGGAAAAAACAGGCTAACCAAGCACTCATAAATGTTCCTCACACTCTTCTGTCCCTTAAATGTCTATGGTGATTACGGTTCAAATATAGCACGATAACTGTGCTACTTCAGCAGCTGTCTGGATCATCATTTACATACATTTTTTTTTAAAAATCACACACTGAGAAACTGTAGTAGTCAAACGACAACAACTGAAAGAAAACGTTTTAGAACGCAAATAATATGATTCCTGCATAAAAGATAGTTGTTAAATTAAAATATGACTATATATCTCTGTAAAACACTCTTGCATTTTAGAAAGATGCTATATAAATAAAACAGAATTACCTTTTCTTTTCTTTTTTTACAATCAGGGGCATAGTTACAGTTTCTGGGCCCCCTGAACAGCATAATGACTCGGGTCCCACTCAATAGAAATTGCATTCATTTAGCATTCAATTTTGTGGTGAAACATCCTGATAGGTTCTTTTCTGCCTGACAATTATGTGAACATGTGCAACCATATTTTATATGATTTCATCAACCATCTCCCATTCAAACCAAGAACTATGACTATAAAGAGAATTATAACGATAACTACATTAGCGTCCACTTTAACGCACCATAATGTTCTGTGTTTATTATAAGTGCATGCTGAAATTTTGTAGTCTGCTGCTTCGAAATGCTCGAGCTCTTTAAAGCAGGATGGATTCTGTTTGGCTGGCATTGTTTTTATAATTCATCAGCTAGTAAAAATCGTTCTAAAAGCGTTTCCAATTATATGGTTCCTCTATGCCTTTATTATCGTTATAGTTGTGGTGTGAATAGAATGATTATTGAAACTTTAGTTATCGTCCTTTGTATGAACTGGCCTTAAAGGGGTCATATGATGCGATTTCAATTTTTCCTTTCTCTTTGGAGTGGTACAAGCTCTTGGTGCATAAAGAAGATCTGTAAAGTTGCAAAGACTAAAGTCTCAAATCCAAAGAGATATTCTTTATAAAAGTTAAGAGTCAACCACACCCTCATAAAACGGCTCGTTCTAACACGCCCCCACATGTCTACGTCACGATGTGGGAAGATTTGCATAACGCCGCCCAAATGTTCACGCAAAGAAAGAAGGCGTAACTTTTATTCTCGCTGTAGTATTGTTGTTGCCGCCATGTCGTGAAGATGCTGTGTGTTTCGTTGTGAAAGCGAAACTACTTTGTTTGGCCTTCCAAAAGAGGATGATATCCGCTTCGTCATGCCTGGAGCTGAACCGTGCTGGTCGCTGAGGAAATACATCAACTTCGC